CTGTAGTTGCAGAAGTGTTTTGAAAAGGATGGAAAAAGTTTTACAGAGCTGCCTTCCAAATCTCTTTATCAGTGTTCCCATAACGGAGTATTTTGGGGTGTTGAACCGCTGGTGAGTATGCTGAGCACTGCTCTGTTTTAAATGTGCCCATGTAGGAAAATAACAGTTGGTCTAGATTGGTCCTAAATGGTTATGAGGAATAACTATTAGTAAGACTTTTTTTAATTTTATCTTCCAGCAACCTCAAATGCAAACATTTCATCAAATACATATATATAACTATTGATAGACATCTCCCAAGCCATGTGTTGTAGAAACCATCCATAAAATGACGTCACTTTGCTCTCTATGGAGAAACCCAAAGGATCTTTTCAAAATTACATTTGATCACAGGATTTGCACTTCATTTAGAATAAATTCGAAATGCCTTGTCATGAACTACCAGGCCTACATGATCTCTCTGCTGCTCACGCCTCTGAGTGGCCCTTTTTCCTCTCACTCACTGCCCTCTAGCCACTCTATCTTTATGTCAGGACTTTTGCATTTACTGTCCCTCTTCTTGGAACATCGTTCCCTCCTGATCTGTATTTGGCTGATTCTTTCTCGTTGTTCAAGTTTCAGCTCAGACTTCATTTCAACAAAAAAATTGTTCCCTGATTCCCTAACTTTGTCATCCTTTTATATCCATTCACATTGTATTCTTTTGTCTTATTTTTTAAAAGGACTTTTTCAGCATTTGAAATGATCTTATTTATCATTTATTTTCCTCTTTGTTTTTCTGTTACACTAGAATGAGAGCAGGGACTTTTCCCATCTCATTTGTCATTGTATCCCTCTGGCTAATATAGAACCCAGCATATATTAAGGCTCAAGAGAATTTGTTGGATGAATGAATGAGTGAATGAATGAATGGATTCCAGTTCTGTGCCTGCAATGAAATATAAGACTCAAATAAATACCATAAGGCACAAAAATGTTTATTGAGTGGTCCAGATCTCCATAAATGTGGGAAAGTTGAGATTAAAATCAAAATTATAAAAAAAATTTTTATTATTCCCTGGCTAGCCTATCAAAAACAGGGACTCTATTGGGAAGTAGGCATAAAAGCCAAGAAAACCCAGAACGGCTTTACAGGGAGAGATTTCAGCTCATGCTCTGTTTCTCTGGAAGTTGGCTTCTCCCTTTACGATCTCCAGCTCTTCTGTGTACTGAGCAGGCCCTCACGATTCCTATCAAAACGTTCATGGTGAACATCAAATCATACCCAAATGTCCTAGTTTACACTAATTTCCAGGGCCTCTCACCAGCCAAAAACATATCTCTTGGCATCCGTCTTTAACATCATCCCTACCGAAAGGACAACATTAGTGATCTGTTCTCCTCTCCTACCAGTGAACTTGTATTATCTTAAGTCTTTGGGGTTCAGAAATAAATAGCGTTTTCTCTAGTGCCTGTATATGTCCCAGATGTCCTATTATTGAGTTCACAGAATACAAATGGAAAAGGGTTATTACCAGGCAGAAGCTTTTAAAATGAAAATCAAACCTAATACATGGACTCAGACACCTGGAGTAAGGAATATAATATTTATAAAACTGAGTTGGAGGTTGCAATCATTGCTCTAAAGTAAAGCATTAAATATTAATTCAAAGCAAACCTGTCTGTGCTGCAGCAAAGCTCTCTTTCATTAAGGTGGCACTGCATGTTTCTCAGAATTACTTCCCCCAAATAGGTAAATAGCTTGTAAGAACCAAGTGTTCTGCAAACTACCAAAAAACCTACCCGAGGCACGATTTAGAATTAAAGCATTACACACCTTTGATTTTGAACCAATTAATTGTGATTCTTGTAGATCCTCTACATGTCTGCCCTTGGGTATCGCTAGAAAAGTTTAATGCTTCTTATTCATCTCCATTTGATTAATCCAAACGGTGCCAGATCATTTGATTAACTCATGTTGCAGCATATTAAATATTAGAAAACTGCGGGAGCCAGTTATGAGTTGTACTTTTTAAATCTCCATATTTTTTTTATTTCAAAAAGTTCATCTTTCATTTTTTTAAATCTTTTCTACTAATCTTCTACTTCACATTGGTATTTTTATTAATTATTATGACTACTGTTATTTCCTGTTTCCTACCTTGAGATATACTAAAAAGAAAGAAAAATAAGATTGCTAGTTATTTCTGCCTCTACTGTTGAGATGAGGTTTCCATTTTGCCCGATTTACACCATTCCTCTGAAGCCCTGAAATAAATAACCTTGTAACCTCTAGGCCCTATTGATTTTTGAATGATTTCAAATAAAAAGTTTCCAGTTTCCATTGCATTGACAAACTGCCAGTCCCTGGGCGAACCCTATTGGATTCCCATTAAATGGAGGGGGCAGGAAACAACAACCAAAAATTCCAATAAAGGGACTAAGAAATGGAGCAGGGAGAGGTGGTGGAGGCTCAGCTCAGTAAATGGGTACTTAACCTTTGACCAATGACGACAGGTCCCCTTTAGTTCTATTAGACCAAGAGCAAGCTGTTATGATTTAATAAAAAAGAAAAAACTGTTTAGGGCTTTACTGAATATGTCCTGGGAATTAAAGCATATGGCAGGGATAAGGAAAAAAGATTTGCCTTATGCTAATGACCCATGATGTCTGAAATAAATTAGATCCATTAGAGTTATGCTCAATAAAAGAAAGACTTTAAGCACTCCAAAGTTAGTGACTCGAGACCAGTTTTTGCTCTGAAATTCAATCTGCCTACTTATTAATTCTTACTGAGACTCCAGAGCAGGCAGGAGATGCAAAAGCATAGTTCTGCACTGAGCCCGAATTTTAAAGGACCCTGGGATTCGTTTCCTTTTCTTTTAATGAACCATTTTTCATGCTTCTCATTTTGTGTTCCTCATTAATTTGATTTTGTTCCTATTTTTGTGTCATTTTTTTGTTTCTTTTCAAGGTTTCATTTATCCTATTTCAACTGAACAGAGAACCCAGAATGAATATGGATTTTCTTGTAAGTCTGATGCTTGGTTTTTATGTTGCTGAATAATCTTTTAACGTTATCGCCCCCAGTTCAAGTTTACCTTTCCTTAGATCACAGATGTGCACACAGGAAATAGGTGCCTAATATATTCTAACATGAAAAGCAAATTAGATTTTCACCGCGGAAGAGAAGAAAGGGTCATTTCGAGTCTCTGCCCGCTTTCAAATCTATCAGCCTACATCCAAAGCTTGGGCCCAGTAGCTGACAAAACATATCGTAAAAAATGCTGATGTAAATAAAAGGCTGGGTTAAAATGCTAAAAAAGTAAAGGGTTGAGAAAATGCAGATCTATTGAGTTAGAAATCATGAATGTTGAATAAGTAATTGCAGCCTGGTAAAATAAAACATTAAGGATTTCGGTATCATCTTCTGACCAGAGTTCAGAATCCTGCCGCGGGCCTCAGGCAGGACCCGGCAGCAGAGTGAAGTCAGCACTTTGAAAGCAGGGCTCACACAACCATGATTGGGATGCTACTGGTTTTCTGAAAAAATCTGTGCGTATTGACTTGATTGGTAGGAGAGCGGATATTCTGGACACTTGGGGAAAAACAGTGGTTTAAAAATAAAAATAATAATAATCCTTTCACATACAGTGCATTTAAATACAAAACTCTAAAAGAGATATAGTGATTTTTCAACAGACAATTTCTTTGTACTGCCAATGCCTCAAAGAAATCATGTCATGATAGTGTAGGTGGTGCCCTGAGCCACTGGCAATTTGAATGAAGTCACTTCACTGTATAAAGCTTGTCTGTGAGTCTTAGGAGAGAGCAGTGGTTCCTCAACTCTTCGGAGGTCCTGGGACCTACAAATCTGCAATCCCCCCAATGCACGTAGATACAAAATTGAGCATAAAAAGGCTGTTGACCACCTGGAGTACCTGTTTAATCACCTCCTTTACAGTGAGCCTAGAAGCGTCTGTTAACGTTGCTGCAAACTTGTGTGGGTCCCAGAAAACTAAAAATAGATTTAAAGATGTCAATAGGGTTCAAGAAAAGTTTACTTTTGTTTGTTTTATTTATCACCTTTTGCCATTGGATCAAAGCATGTTCTATGCCACCAAGGCAACATGCAATATTTACAGGAATTTTCTTCTCTCTTTACCCAGAAACACCCCCCCCCCTCCATCTGACCACACACTGTGTTGGTCAAATGCTTAATTGCCTTCAGGGCTAGTGTGACCTTTCTGATCACTGAACCAGGCCTTTATCTTACTCGGTACGCCGTAGAGCTGTATTTTATTCCAGTAATGAGTAGCTCAGATGTAATCTCTGACAAGAGACCGTGAGAAGCTCAGGGTTCTCAGAGGTAATACTGAGTCTGGATAAAAGCCCGGAGTTACTGTGGCGACCTCTGCTCCTCAGATCTGGGTCTTCTGAAAGCACACCTTTCAGGTCCAACATGTTTGCTCCTAATATTTGCTTTGCGTAGTTACACCATCCCCACCCACCCACTCATTGATTTAGGGGAAAGTGAGAAGAGTCCTATAGAAAGTTATTTTGTGACTTGGAAGGATTCTAGGAAAGTATTCTGGTTCAGTAAATATACAGATTCAGCACATGCCAAATATTTCTAGCAGAGTGTTTATGTTTTTAGAGAACTATCAGTGAATTCCAGCCACCTTCCAAACGTTCCACCTGAAATTTGCAATAATCTTTTTGTCTCCTATGGGTCAGGAAGGTTTTAGCTCCAGGTTCTTTTGATGCCTTGGAATGAATGATCCGTTATGCTGCCCCATTTAAGACAGATGAGTGGGTGGATAGACGCAGAGTAGGAAAGGGAAAGAAATCAGGGATAATTTTCCACTGAAAGGCCACAGTTGTTTTATATAGCTTTTGGATTAGATTTGAAATTAACCTATAAAAAAAGACAATAAATGTCTGAAAAAATTATAGCAATACGCATGTCTGCTGTGGGAAACTTCCCTAACCAGTGGCCAATGTTTCCTTCTCCCGTCTAGCTGCTCCTGATTCAGATGACATTGCTCTGTATGTTGGCATCGTCATAGCAGTGATTGTTTGCCTGGCCATTTCTGTGGTTGTGGCGCTCTTTGTGTATCGGAAGAATCACCGTGACTTTGAGTCTGATATTATTGACTCTTCGGCACTCAACGGAGGCTTTCAGCCTGTGAACATCAAGGCAGCAAGACAAGGTCAGTTGACATTGAACTTCACATCTACAACTTATGCAAATAAGTAACCTCCCTGTGTGGCTTTAAAATCAGTGCAATATCCAGTTCAGCTAGAACGTAAGCTCCATGAGGATAGGGGTTTGGTCTGTTTTGTTAATTACTGTATTAACTTCATTCACTTATGTTAGAGTTGACAAGGTGCATGGATCTTTTTTTTTTTTAATTCTCTAACATGTTTCTCTGTCATACTTTTTAACTTTTAGTTGAAAAAAAAGTATATGGACTGTTTGATTCTGGAATCCCCTTTTTTCTCTTTGACAGGGCATCTTGTATTGCTATGAGTACAGCGGTCTACAGATGAACCGAAATCCAGTAGAGACAAGGGGGCTAATACCTATAGTCACCTAGTGGCGCTCACTGTCTAGGATTCTCATCTGTTGAAATAGTTAAATACCTTCAGAGCAATGAGTAGGCTTCAAGGCAAAATACAGAATCTGTCTATTTATTTGTAGCCAAACATAAAATGGATCCTCGACATCTAATTGCCCTGTTTTCAGCAAAACTGTAGAGTCCATATCTCCAATATTTGCTGAGTTTCTTTGCATTTGACTCAAAGTGTCAGGGGGAGACTGACTAATGTAAGTTGACTGAATGAAGTATTCAAGTAGATTCCTTTTCTCTTTCAGATCTCCTGGCAGTACCTCCAGACCTCACATCAGCTGCAGCCATGTACAGGGGACCTGTCTATGCCTTACATGATGTCTCGGACAAAATCCCCATGACCAACTCTCCAATTCTGGACCCACTGCCTAACCTGAAAATCAAAGTGTACAACACCTCCGGTGCTGTCACCCCCCAGGACGACCTCTCTGAGTTTGCATCAAAGCTGTCCCCTCAGATGACCCAGTCCTTGTTGGAGAATGAGGCCCTGAACCTGAAGAGTCAGAGCCTGGCAAAGCAGTCTGATCCGTCCTGCACCGCATTTGGCACCTTCAACTCTCTCGGGGGCCACCTTATTGTTCCCAATTCAGGTAATTCCTGAAGGTTTAAAACACAAAGATGGAGCTTTAAAACATATTTTTTTTGTACCAAAATTTTTTTTTGTTTGTTTTTGTGAGGCCTGAAAAGTTCAATGTAGCCTATCTAACCCAACTCTACTTTCAATGTAAATCTACACTCCTTCAGACAAAATCAGCAAAACCATCCATCTTCCTGCAACCAATTCTGGAAACACTTCTTCTATAAATATTATGCTCACAGCTTTCTGCCAAGGTGTCATTTAGAACTGTCATTGACCTTCTTTTAACAGAGCTTCAGAAGGCACATCCAGCTAGAAGCTCTCGCTGTTGTCAACGCACTTTAAAAGGACAAATTAATTAGAAAACATATCAGTTGGTTCAGTTCCAAATCACTAGAGGAAGCAATACTTCAGAACACTAATTTCTAGATGATCAGAGGACATCATAATAGACATCCAATCTTTAGTTATTAACTCTTTATTGCAGTCTTTAGCCTCAAGGTGTTAGAAGATCCTTACTCCTGCTCCTGTATAGCTATCTAGAACCACAGCTTCCGCGTGTGTCCTTTGGTAGTATTATTTAGTTTTCAGTTTTTTATTGAGTCATCTGCTTTGAGAGAATAAGCCTCATAAAGGTCTTAAATTATGAGTTTAAGTTAATGACTAATAGTGTGTTTGTTAAACTTTGGCATTCATTGATCAGTAGTAGTATTAGGTTTGGAACTATGGAGTCATAAGAGGGTTAATGGATTCCTCTGTGAATCAAACTTCTCTCTTTTGGACAAGACTGAGTATTTTGCAAATGCAACATTAAGAAACAATTTGTTTTTCATGTAACATAAGAAAAGCATGTAATGTGTCAGCAGCCATACAGCCGATAGACAGAACCAATTGGTCTTCAGGGTCTGAATATGAACGTGTCTTTGATTCTTCCTCTAATTCAGTCCCCCATTTCAATGCCTTGGTAATTTTGCACCCCATACCTTTAAAAGTATATTTTAAGAAATTTAAATAGTTGATGAAATATTATTTTTCCATACATTTAACATAGTTGGGATAATACATTATATGAAATGCTTTCTTTACCTTTTTCTCATTAAGTTTTATGCTCTTGTATGTGCATTAGAAACCATTATTTTAAATATATTTTAATAGTCTATCAACTGGATAGGAAAACATATACTTTATAGCTCTTCATTGTTTAAACATTATATTATTCACAAGACAATGGTTTTTTAAATCATACTCACTGAAGTCTACCTTTCCTTCCCATTTCTACACCTGATACTTTTTCACAGATTAATTATTATAAAGGCTTCTCAAGTGGAAAGGAGGGAACTAGCATATGTCCAATACTTTCTATGTACTAAGCAAAGGTGATTTACATACACTGTTTTATTTAATAGCGTAACAATAGTTACCTAAAGTATGTCAGGCCTTCTTCCTGTTATTGTACATCCATCATTTTATTTCATCCCCATAACACATACACAGGTACATTTTACTGTTCCCATTGGAAAAAAGAACAATACTGAGGCATGGTAGCCTGATGTGTGGTCTGCCTGCTTCCCCTCTGTGCCTCAATAGACCATTCACTACACCAGGGTGACACTGCACGTCCCACAGCGGCACAGCTCCCACGCTACTCACCTTCTCAGGAAAGCCAGGCCTCAACATTTTCAACCTGTTTTACAAAGGCCTGAATACCTACTTCTCCTTAATTCTCCACTCTTTATTCTTGAAACTTTCTAGGCAAGTTTTCATACTGTCCTACGCTCATTTGGCATATTCCATTTCCTTGCTAGTTAAATTATAAGCTTTTCAAAGATAAGAACCCTATCTTTTACTTCTTGGCATTCACAACAATGCCAAAACACTGTACTCACAATGGTGCTCCATAAATTTTTAGTGAGTTGGAATAAGCTGCCTTTATTGGAATGAAATCATGAAGCTGAGTACCTTCAAGTTGCTGCCCACCCTGAATTCCTCTTTGAGGTGATGCTGCAGCGGTGCAGGCCAGTGGTTCTTGCAGTGTGATCCACAGGCAACAATCCTGGCATCACCTGGCAACTTGTTACAGCTGCAAACGTGTATATAGTTTTGTTAGAACTGGCAAATCTGAAACTCTGGGGTAGGATCCAGTAATCCATGTTTTAGCAAGTCTTCCATGTGATTCTGATGCAAGTTCAAGTTGCAAGCCATTGCTATAGGACAGTTAACTAGAACAGAGGTCAATCCAATGTCCTACAAAATGGCACTAATTCACAACTAAGTAAAAGCCTGCTTGATGGGTTGTGAGTACAACTAGTAGGTTCTGTTCACTTTCTGGACTTATGTATGATGAAAGGAGTTCTTCATCCATTATTATTCTGTCCCAGAATAACACTGATGCTAACCAGATACTTCAGAAATATATGTTTTTTATATTGCCGAAGTTAGTATTTCCCTGACTTTGAATCCTGCGGGGATTTTTCTTTTAATTAGAAACAATTCATCATTACAGCTGTTTGAAATTTTAAGAGCAGTTGTTGGTCTTCCCCTCCTTTTACAAGGAAAATGACACTGGAATCATCTGGCTATTCCTTAAATAAAATAAGAGTTTTAAAAATTAGATCATGCATTTAATTCTACAACAGTTCAGAGGGAGCTGTGGTAACAAATGAGGCCAATAAGGAAAGAAAGCTAGGCAGCCATGAATATCTGCATGTCTTTAGAGAAAAAGTAGGCTTATGGCTACATGGCCACAAAATCTCACTCCCTTTCCCTTGCTTCAAAGGCATTTGAAGTTTCCCTTTGTTTCAATACGTCTTGTGTAACTTCTCCTCTCCTCTTTTGCTCTTCAGGAGTAAGCTTACTGATTCCTGCTGGGGCCATTCCCCAAGGGAGAGTCTACGAAATGTATGTGACTGTACACAGGAAAGAAACTATGAGGTAAATATGTTTTTTCTTTCGGGTGCACTTGACTTTATCAATCATGTCTGAGTTGAAAGAGAATTGTACAATAGACATAATAAACCCAAAACATTGTGTCTTGAGTGCCCTGCTTCTGGCATGCCCTTGTCTCCCAAGATGTATAAATGTGAATGTTTACTGCTCTTTATCTTTGAAGCTGCAGACACTTTTGAGGATCTTGAGAATGGGCAGAAGACCAGAGATCTCTTCCCAAGTAGACTTGTGGCCATATTAGCTGTAAAAATGGCCATAAACATGATCCAGAGAGACATGACCCATAGGTTGATCAGAGACGCATGGGTAGACACAGAGACATCAGGTTCATGTGGCCTGGCTCAAGAATCCAACCTTTTCCCATCATTGAATTAAAGGTCACAAAGAATTAGACAAACTCAAGCCTGTGACTACAACCCCACTTCAGCCTCGTTCTCTCTTCTCACCTGTAGATTCTTCTTTTTGTGACTCTTTCTAACTTAAGTATTATCAACCTCCTTCTTACGTTTACCTCCTATGAATTCTGTGCTGGGCCTTTCTAAATGGAGCTAGGGTTGATTAAAACTAGAATGAACCAAAAGGTTCCATTTTGAATGTGTCATAATCATAAAGTTGCAGCTATTTTAAGTGAAAATAGAAAGAGGTGTTTAGAAGTCCTAAATTCAATTTTCAGTCTGGCCTCTAACGAATTCTGGTATTTCTTGCTTAGTTCCCACCTAAAGTGCATACATCCAATAGTGCTTTAGAGGCCTGATGATGTATGCTTCCAGAGTACATACATCTTAAAATAAAAGATGTTGTTGAAATAATGATCCTTCCATGTAATTTCTGCTGTTTTTCCCAAGGGGAAAGGCATCAACTCTTTAGTCCTGAGCTCCGAATACAAAGCATTAGTGACAAATGTGGAATTGGGTTATCATTATAACACATTATACCTTTCTTCTTCCCCTCTGTCATCCTCAGAAAAACATCCATTTTTAGTCGTCTTCTTCTTCAGTAGCCGGAAAGCTCTTTTATCATGCTCGCGGGTGGAGATACTGATATTTATAATCTGTAGGACCCAGAACATTTTTCCCCAGGTGGTGTGCTTTCACCTACATAAACACTAGCCTCAGAAAATAATAAAATTCCTTGAGCATTATTCATGCCTTAAATTTGAGCAACAGAAAATCACTAAAAGACGTATATTTACTCACATCAAATATTCATTTTTTTCATTCTCCAATGCAAAGTAACATTCATGGGCCCTCCGAGGCCTTCTCTTGCAGCAGCAGAAATGAAGGTTAGCAAACTCCAAGATCCCTTTGTTGCTTTGTTTTTCTCCTTTCTCGTGTTCAGAGTCAAGGTTAGTGCCATCTCTCAAGGCCATGCCAACACGGATATTTTGTTTAAACAAAAATGAGTACTGGCTGGTACTTTATCCCAAGGAGCATGGAGGTATTCACGGGCTCTTATTTTCCATCTGGTCAGCATTATCTTTAGCTGAAGATCAAGCCAGAGGAGGCCCGCTGAAGCTGAAAGACGTGTGCTCTCACCTGCCGCCCACGGTTTCCCTTCCCATAGTTTAGTCGGCATCTGACCAGGATAATTGTACCTTTTAGATGAAAGAGAGAGAACACAGAAAATTGATAAAGTGACAAACTTCTGCTTTTAGGTTCCTCTGCCTTTGACTTTAAAGAAAAGGAAACAAAATCCCTCCTTGCCATGCCTACCACCTGAAGTTACATGCAGAGGGGATTATTCTATTGAATTTGGTTCACATCAAAGAAGCTCTGTTTGTCAAAATGAAGCCAGAGAAACCTCAAGATCTAAAAAAAAAAATAGGCACCACAGACCATGAGACAAGGAACAAACACAAAAAGATAACTGTCTCCAATAAATGAGAAAGTTCCTCTCTTTCTGTTGTGAATCAGACGGGTTTGCTCTTGTAAAAACACAATGACAAGAATGTGTTTTATGATATAAAACATAGCTACCATTTATTCAGCATACTTTTTTAAAAAATATGTTTTTATTGGTTTCAGAGAGAGGGAGGGAGATAGAAACATCAACGATGAGAGAGATTCATTGATTGACTGCCTCCTGCACACCCCCTACTGGGGATCAAGCCTGCAGCCTAGTCATGTGCCTGAACAGGAATCACACCGTGACCTCCTGGTTCATGGGTTGATGCTCAACCACTGAGCCACACCAGCCAGGCTATTCAGCATCCTTCTAATTTCATTTATTCCTCCCTACTACTCTGCAAGTTGTGATGAGCTCCACTTAAAAGAGGGAAAATCTAAGCTCGGGGAACTGAAGTCACGTAACCAAGGTTTCACAGTTAAGGGTTGAGAGAAAGCAGGATTCACACCTGGGTTATCTCACCACAAAGCTCTCGGCTCGGTCTCACATGCCATCAGGCCTCCATCTCACCAGTACAAAAGCCACACCTCAGCCTCCTTATTCTAGTGTGCGCTGGACCAGTTTCTTCCTATTGCTCATGAAAGCCCCTTCTATCCCCACATGATGTGAGAGACAACTTCTTGCAGAGGAGACTCTGAGCACATTAGGAGATATGAATGTTTCTTTAAGGCATTAATGGGAAATTTGGATTATTTTTCTCCATTTTCCTTCTTTCTCATTTCCTTTATTGCATGCAGAACTGGGTGTTTTTCTAGCTGGATCCCATCTAGCTGGTCATCTGCTGCTGTGAACTGTCTAAAGGGAAGCCTGAACTTAATTGCATGCGGCATAGAGAATGTGATGAGAGGGGCCTTATCATTACCGAATAGGCTCTAAGCACGGAATGGCACATGAGCAGCCTAAATGAGCAGCAGAGATGGGACACGCTGTCTCTGACCAAAAGGGAGCAGAGCTGCAAGGCTGTGTCCGGAACTCTACCTCCCTTGCCTTACGGGTCTCTGAAGGGGCTGCAAAGCCTCTTTCTCCCCCCGTGGATACAATTTCCACAATTAAATGGCACTCACATGGGCCTTTTGCCTTGTTTCCAGTAGCAGCTTAAAAAAATGAGCCTCAGACGGAAATTTTACCCATTGTCATCGCTTATCGAACAACAATTTGAATTGAAGATATGAACATTACTTTTCCCTTTCTTTGTATTTTCTACTTGCTTAGCAGGTTTCTCAAAATACTAAAAAAAAAATCTGTTTAGACATTTCAACTATAAAAGTAAATAGAACTTTTTAAATAAACTATAGAGGAGGCCATGGAAAGGTTTTGAGTAACCAAGTGATACAGGAATAGCAAGGCTTTTTAAAGATTATCTGGCAAATGGTGTGTGAGATGAATTAGTAAAGGGAACAGAAAGACACCTCGGAAGGCTGGGTGCCTGATTAGGCTGTGGAAATACTCTAGGTGTGAGGGGAGAGGGGACAGAGCCAAGATCAAGTCTGGAGAATAGAAAATGAAGTATATTTCAGAAGAAAAGGTATTTCACAACTGGTTAGAAGTGATGCAAAACACAAAGAATACAGACTGAGGTACCAAGCCTTAGGCACTGTGAGAATTGTGAGAGCAATGAGAGAGGTCAGAAGCAGCAACTGGTTCGAGCAAAGGACAATTTCTGAGTTAAATGGGCGCAGGGTGTGTGAGTGCGGGGATCTGGGATTCCTGCTAGAGATGCAGATGGCAAGTCACCAGTGAGTGGATCCTCCCAGGGGAAAGATGCAGAAGCAGAAAGAAGAAGAGAACTGGGGAACAAACTCTGGGAAATATTCCTATTTACAGTTTGGGTTTGATGAGTGACACTCAATAGAACATGAAAGGATAAGGCGGATAAAGAATTTGCATCGGTCATGGTCCTTAGCACATAGTGGCCCCTCAAATTAATGTTTTAAATGCAAGAATGAATGTTTGTGTCATAGGGGGGGGGAATCAAATGTAAAGAGAGTTCCAAGATGGAGGAAATGGTTGAAAAAGGTGTTGTTAAAATTAAAATATAAAGAAAGAATAATAATTTAAAAACTATTAAATTTGTCAACTAGAGGACATTGATGGTCTTTAGGTACTTTTTTAAAGGATGAAATCCCAGTAGGAAGAGTTTAAGGTGCAAGTTAGTGGTGAAGCAATTAAAACTATCTATGTATATAAAAGGCTAATATGTAAAGTATCCCCTCAGGAGTTTGACCATCGCTCGCTATGATATGCACTGACCACCAGGGGGCAGCGTGGAACGAAGGAAGGCCCTGGCCCAGCAGCCAGAAGGCCCTGATCAGCCCTGATCACTGGCCAGGCCTAGGGACCCTACCCATGTACAAATTTCATGCACCGGGCCTCTCGTCATAAATATTTACTGAATATAAATAATAATGTGTTTGGATAGTGAGCCAAAAATCTCTTATGTAGGTAATTATATAGAAGGAAGTTTACATTCATTTTAACACGCAGTTTGGAACTTTGTAAACAGTTCACATTATTATTTCTCAGTGGAACCCAAGGTATTCTCCTTTTAAGTAGTGCCCTAAATTCTCCCTTTGAAGGAACAACTAAAGGTACAGGAGGAAGGGAGACGAGTCCAGGTATACTTAAGTCTTATTCTCTTACTATTCTCTGCAGTGTGTATTTATTGAAATCCTACTTATAAAGAAATGATTCAAGGTGATTTATAAAAACTGTCTTTTCAATGGGAGAAAAAAATGTTTAATAAGTGGATGAAAAAATAAAATTTAAAAAGATAAGATAAAGTCAGATAAGAGTTAAAATATAAAATGTTCCCAGCATATTTCTGATAACAGGTCTAGGTCTTAGATTTACTATTTCGAAGTTTTCCAGAAGGGGACGTAGTAAGTTATAAGATCCATGTGTCCATGAGGAAAAAAAATGTTCCTGGGAGAAGCTCAATGTCTGTGGTTTCTCCTAAAGGAGACATTTTATTAATACAAAGAACAACATCCTTATAATAGACACAGCAATGAGTTTCATAGGGCTGCTTCTGTTAGTGCCCCTCAATGTAAGTGGATGGTATAAGGTCCAAGTATAAACAA